GTACATTTTCCTAATGGGAAGAACACAGACCAAGGGTGCCTGACCAGAGGGTGCAGAGGGGAATATTGGAACCCAAGGGTGAGGATGTCACAGGAAGCCGAAAAAAAAACATCATAGTGAGCAGCTCTTCACCAGATATTATTAGGATGAACTAAGTAAGGAGGATAAGGTGGATGGAGGACATGCAGCATGTACGAGTAAAAAAAAAAGGTTAAGTTATCCCTGTGCTTAACTAATTAAGTACTATACCATGAAGGTGTATGAGGGAGTGGGTGTGTAGATCCACATATTCTTGACCCTGGCACTAGTTGGAGGTGAGTGGTCAGCTTCATGCACTGGCCGCTTTACCACTGAAGAAAAAGCCCCCACCCCCATATCCACTGGGTAGGAGGTTGGATGGGCCAGAGAACCATTCTGGATGATATGGAGAGGAGAAAAACCTTACCCCTACCGGAACTCAAATTCAGACCTCTCAGTTATCCAGCCCATGCTCATAGGCAGTCACTCTACTGATGGCATGATTCTGGCTCATGCAGCATGCATGGAAGATAAACAAATAAACAGAACATTCAAAGGAAAATATCAGCAGGGAGAACAAGATAAAGACAGCAGGATGACATTAAAATGAGTCTTAAAGAAATCTATGTGAGGATATGGACTGGATCCAAATAGCTCAGGATAGGATCCACTGGTGATCTCCTGTGTGCATGGTTGAACTGGCCCCTTCCCCTTCTTCTCTCAAATGCTACTCATTACGAGAGCTGTGAAGAGAGAACCAGCAGCCCATCGTCGCTGGCTCTATTGCTGTGTTCGCACGCTCCCTGAGATAGACGTGGGGTATCCAAGCTATGTGGAGGAGCCACAGTGATATGCTGGCCTCAGATAACAATAAAAAAAATTTAATAACAAAATAAATAAAGTACAGACATAACAAGAAACACATATTCCTGGCAGAACATGGGGTACAAGAACCCAATACACAATTGCTAAGCAATCTCTTGTCGCCAGAACTTGCGACGCAAAATAAACCAACTTGCCATAGTTTCCAACTTCCCTTGGGCTCTGAATGGGTTAACCCTTAACAAACACAAACAATACAGATGCAGGTAAATACAAAATGATAACACGCATCGCAACCGTCCTACCCAACGGCTTGCGATGCGGGCAGCCTTACTTTACCAGCCAGCCAGATACCAAACCAAATTTTGAGGTAACCCAGCTGAAACGGAATTTCCAACAACAATCCCTGCTAGCTGGTAATCATCTTCTCCAGTAAACATTGTCTGACAGACTGCCCAGGAAGTCTCTCCTTGTTCCATGACTAGGAGGTGGGATGGGGTCACGTGACGAGGGTAGTACGTCAACATTATTTGGGGTGGGGATGGAATCCAGGAATGGCAGCCACCATGATGTCACGCTGAGAGCAAGTTGACATTCAACATGGCTCATGGTAATGAACCTTCACAATCCATATAAGACTGAGACCTTCTGACTAGCTGCATGACTATCAGCTTCTGCACACAGTTAAACAGTTACTTACAGGTAGATTCTAAAGGGTTCTGACGATGGTGGATGACACAGAATTACTGGGGGTTTGGACTTTTTCCATCATCCAGAATTTTAGGTAACAGAGGACACATGTTTTGGAAACTGGATCTGTTTCTGTCTTTAGGTGAGAAAGGAAGACACCTACTCAGTTGGGTAGGTGTCTTCCTTTCTCACCTGAAGATGGAAACAGATCCAGTTTCCGAAACACCGTGTCCTCTATTACCTAAAATTTCGGACAATAGAAAAAGGCCAAAACCCCAGTAATTCTGTGAGTTACTTACATAATCACAATCATGAAACATAAACCTATGTTACCTTCAGGAAAAGCCTTCTCTCTTCATCGCTGAAATCTTTGTCGAGAATGTCCCAGAGCCAACAAACAACGCGATGAGAATCATGGAAACCACCATAGTAATGTGTATGTTTCCGTAAGTCTCGGAGGTCTAATGGAACATTGTCTCCAGAAATCAGTCGCTGTAGCTGCAACATTCAATAGAGACTGAAGACAGAACATTTAAATCAAAACACCATGACACAAAATGTGATTCAAGCCAGCGTCTTACTATGACTGTGTATAGTGTTCCAGCCCAATAAATTAACATCATTAGCCGACAAGAAGCTGCTATGTCCTGTCCAATTCTAACTCCTCCTGTTTTTATTGGCCTGCATAGGAAAAATTAACTTCAGTCAATATTTAATTACCTACCTACCAACCACTTGGTGCTACAGCACTGGGTGGGCCTTGGCCTCCTCTACAACCAGTATCCACAACCAATGTGTGCTGCCCTAGGAATGGATCCATGCATGATGACCTAAGGCTGGTTGTTAGGTTTCTGAACAAAATTCTTTTTACAGGATGAGGCTGTTAGCCTCATGCCCAACCCCCAACCTGGAGGACCAGGGTATCTCTCTTAGTCTGGACTCTACCCTTTGACTTTTCCAGCACGGATGACCCTACTGGTAGTTAAACTACCACTGGCATAGCTCTCCAGGTCACAGAGTCACACAAGCCCCACCACCACGACAAGGCGGTATTTAATTATTTAAACTCAAAAGTATCAATACACAGTTTTGAGTTTAAATAATTAAATACTGACTGAAGCTAATCTTTCCTACACAGGCCAGTAAAAACAGAAGGATTTAAAATTGAGTGGGACATGTCAATACATCTATGGGACTGGATGACCAAGTGGTCAAAGTTTCAGTCCCAGTAAGGTTCAGAGTCTTCACTTCTTGATCTCCTCTGTGGTCCACCCAACCTTCAATTCAGTGGCTACCGGGGACTCTCTCCTTGTGAGTAAAACGGCAGGGGCATGAAGCTGACCACTTACCTCCAACTAGTGCTGAGGCCAAGAAAACATGCGTCCATACACCCACTCCCCCATATGCCTTCATGGCATAGTGCTTAATTAGTTAAGCTCAGGGAAAACTTTACCTTATCTTACTTTCAATACATTCTACAGGGGATGGACAAAAATATGGAAACACCTCGTGAAATGCATGCCTGAACTGAAGTGTTTATTTTAGCAATGTTTGTAGGTGACGATGTCGTATCTGCCCAATAGCACTACCTGTACAACCTCCGCAATACGTTGCAAGCTTCATGTGTTGTCGAGACAGTGTTCTGTGCAGTTTTTAGTGCATCATGTCAGAGCTAACAGAATTCAAACGCGGGCAAACTGTTGGGGCCCATATGGTGGGTGCTTCCATAACCAAGGCAGCCGAGGTTTCTGTTGTTTCGCGAGGCACAGTATCCAAGATTATGACCGCACACAGGAGGACTGGAAAAACTGCATCCGTTAAATACCGGTGTGGACAGAAATGTGCGTTGTGTGATCAAGACAGATGAACATTGCGTAGGATTGTGACGAAAAATAAGAAGACTACATCTGCAAAAGTGACTGCTGAACTGAATGTCATGCTCACAAACCCTGTTAGCACCAAAACAGTAAAAAGGGAACTCCACGAGCAGGGTATTTCTGGACGAGCTGCAATTCCAAAGCCACTAAGTGGAGAGTGTGGTGCCGAAGTCATAAAACCTGGACTACGGAGCAATGGAAGACAGTCATTTGGTCGGATGAGTCCACCTTCACACTGTTTCTGACTTCTGGCCGAGCTTACGTCTGGAGAACGCCATCCCAAGCTTACGATCCAGATTGTTTGCTGCCAAAAGTGAAACATGGCGGGGGTTCAATCATGGTATGAGCAGCCATATCATGGTATTCTGTCGGACCCATCATTACCCTGCAAGGTCAGGTCACTGCCAACGACTGTGTGACCATTTTGGGCGACCAGGTCCATCCCATGGTGCAAACTTTGTTCCACAATGGTGATGCCATTTACCAAGACAACAATGCCCGTGTTCACACAGTTCACATTGTCCAAGACTGGTTTTCTGAGCACTAGGATGAAGTGTCACATCTGCCATGGCCCCCACAATTGCCAGATATCAATATTATTGAGCCTTTGTGGTCTGTTTTGGAGAGCAATCTGCATGCACGCTATCCACTTCCATCATCGTTAACAGAACTTGCCAATGTTTTGCAGGAAGAATGGTACAAGACTCCCTTGCAAATCATACAGGACCTCTATTTATCCATTCCAAGGAGACTGCAAGCAGTTCTGCAAGCCAGAGGTTGTCCTACTCCATATTAGTTACGGTAATGTGTTTTTTGTTGGGTGTTTCCATATTTTTGTCCATCCCCTGTAATTCATGTTTTAAGCCAATATTTATAGTTTTGAAATAAATTAGTAAAAGTAAAGCTATCCCTGTACCAGGCCATGAAGGCCCATAGGGTTGTGAGACATTAAGGGTCCCACATTATCTAGACAATCGGCTCAAAGATGGCAGAAAGGTTGTCAGCCTTACGCCCTGGCTGC